TGTATTAAAGTTTTTTCTAAAAATTTAAAATCTAAGTTTTTGATTTTACATCTAATGAATTGTGAGAAAAATGGAATATAATAAAAAGAGCCACTACGTGATTTTCTTAAGAGAATATAAAAATCAAAACTTTTTGTTTTTGCATTAACACGTCTTAAATAGAAATTTTTATTTATCTACATTTCGCTGTTAAAATACATTTACCCTATCACAATTAACTCCATAAATATGCACCAGTGGGTGCCAACTTCGTATGAGTTCATATAAAACTGTATTACTAAAGTTATTTGTTACTGTTAAAGTTACTGTTAATTATAAGTGTAAACATAATAGAAGTAGTAGAAGAAGAACTGTTTTTATTAAGTTTATAGTAATTCAGTGATATTTTGTATACATATACTTAACTACGAACTTAAGGCAATGACTGATATATGCTTATACTTATGTAAACATAATATTCAGCGCTTTGTTTAAATAATAAAAATATTTTTTATTATACTTCTTTGCTATCATATCAAGTATTTGTTGACACACATATTCTCACACATATTTAGGCCGTGTACGACTTCGTGTGAATTGAGATAAACTGAATTGAAATTTCTTAGGGATTTTTTGCACTGCATTTATGTAAATATTTATTTATTTATTTATTGCACTTATTTATTATTTTTGGTTAAAAATTTTCAAACTTTATTTATTTATTTATTAAAAATCTTATAAAATGTTCACAATGGCAACACCTAATTTATCTAATTTTTAGCTAATTTACCCTACTCGAAATTCTGGTAAATAACAACATTCGCTACCACATCGACATAATTTACTATTTCCCTCAATTTACCATCAATTTACTTAAACTCGCACACGGCCTTAATTATTGATCACTAATAACTATGTTTTATACATTTTTTTTGAATGCATTCTTTCTTTGCTGTTATTTTTGAAAAATTTCATTGAAAAACCGAAATTTGAAATCAGAAGGCAACATTTCAAGGCCAAACCTTCGTAATAGCATTGCATTGCAGTGCATAGCAGTGCAACAGAAATCCCAAACCACAAGCCAAACAAAGCCGCAAAAAGTTTTTATGCTTGATGTGCACAGACTGAGTTTGGCACAAAGCTTAACACTGCGCTGATAAGAAACAATTACTGCGTATGCTTCCCCTCGTTTGGAATTGTTCCTACTTTTGGCTGGCGCCACTTCGTCTCATATAAACAAAAATAGCCAAATGCACATCTCCACAAACACGGCTGAAAGTGTGCTGTTATAGAGCTTTCAACTCAAAAGCTTTTCTGTCACAACGGAAGAGCTAACCAGTTGCTTAAACACATGCCAACGGTAAACAAATCCAAAGCTACACACTTCATTCAGTTCACTGATAACAACGCAACGCAACAGGTCTGCGGCGCGGAAGGATAACAGGCAAAATTCGACGTAAGAACAGAAATGAAGAAGGCGAAAGTGATTTTCATATAATTTTCTATATGAAATAATTCTTTTCGAAAGATTGTTTGTTTATTAATTGATTAATTGATTTGAGTGCAGACAAAAAAAAGAACAAATACTCACACTCATGAAAATATCCTTGCACGCATTGGCAGCATAGCACAGCATGTAACCAGCGTTTAGAGTGCGTCCATGGTCAGTGGAAGGCAGTCAGACAAGCATTGTGCATGATATGCTGCTGCTGATTAAACATGCTCGATGTGTTCTAAAAAGGACTTTTTATTTTTTTATGTGTGTAAGTGCGTCAGTGTGTGTTTGTGCACTTATGATTTTGTGCTGATTTTGTTATAATTAAAGAAAATACGATTTACTCAGATAAAAAAAAAAATAAAAACAAAACCCAAATAAACTTAGCGCTTCTACGGGAGCTTTATACGCATTTTGTAATTTTATTAACAAAGTTTTATTGTTTTGCCATAATCGCAGGCGAGGCACGTGTGCGAAATTAAACGGAAGTGCCATAATTAAGGAAAGTGCATATACCACCCCCTCGTACGTTCTAGAAAGGAAACACAACGAAAGACTATTGAAACTATTAAAAGAAAAATAAATTCATTAGGACTCATTAAAAGATTTACGTGTGTCATTGCAATAAAATCCAATGGGAATTATCCAACGCCACATATGAAAAGTCAAGACTTTTGCTACATTTTGTTATCAATTAAACAAAAGATACTGCCTTAATATAATAACCAGGACATCAAGGACATTGCGTAATTGACGTATCTAGAAAATTATTCTCAATTATCTTCAATTGTAAGTTGATTGGTTTTAATTGGAAATTTAATAGTTTCAAAATTCTGCATCATTTTTGCACAACTGCAGATAATGCAGTTGAATATATAAAATAATTTCCCATTAATTATATAATTATTAATTATTGTAATTATTATTATTAATTATGAAAATATTTCTTACATTTCAACTATGGCCGTGTGCGAGTTCGAGTAAATTGATGATGAATTGAGGGAAATAGTAAATTATGTCGGTATGACAGCGAATGTTTTTATTTACCAGATTTCGAGTAGGGTAAATTAGATAAAAATTAAGTAAATTAGGTGTTACCATTGTAAAAAATTTTATAAGATGTTTAATAAATAAATTTAAAAATTTTTAACAAAAAATAATAAATAAGTGCAATAAATAAATTTACATAAGTGCAGTGCAAAAAATACCTGGGAAATTTCAATTTACTTATCTCAATTTACTCGAAAATACTTTCCCATTAATTATATTATTATTGTAATTATTATTATTAATTATGAAAATATTTCTTACATATAAAACACATTGTGTTATTTTAAATTTTCTATAACTTAAGTTTCATAATATATTTCTATATGCATTTCTAGTGTTATTATAGATATAAAATAATTAATGTATTTATTTATTTAAATATGAAATATTGCTACAACTCTTTAATTTTTGCTTAAAATAATTTATTGGTAAAATAAAATCAAAGTCCTTGACTACAAATCAAAATTCGTAGTTGGATTCCTGGAATTTTCGGAAAAAGCGAAATATTTTATTTGGAATTAAAATTTTATTCGTAGAAAATGTTGAAAGCTTTCTCTACTGACTTAATTCATATACAATATATATTATCTTCTACCTGTCAAACTGCTTTTTTTCAATAAAATAAAAAATTAAAAAAATACAAGATATGCGGATTTAACGGATTTCACTTAAAGTTGTCTGTGTTCATTATTTAATCTGTATACCAGTTTAAAACCGTTTAAAAATTTTGAAACATATCCTTAAGAGTTTTGAATAATTTTAATTAAGGTTATCTATTTTTTCTCAATTTTCTATTATTAAGTAATAATATATCTTACAACAGATAATTTAACTTAAAGTTCATCATGTGAAGTCGGTATTATGTCGATTTGCATTAGAAACTTCTTACCATGTAATAAACATTTTTTGCTGAGAGCTCTGACAATTTTCTTATAAAATAGTTTAATTCCTACCTCTCGCGTGTTTGGGAGAAGTATCAAATATAAGGGAATTATGAAAAATGTCCAAAAATTCACCAAACATAACTACATGATATCGAAAAGCGACGCCTTCCCCGTGCAGGAAAAACTATCCTAGCTGAATTGACATCAAGGTATAGATATATAGTTATATACAGTTAGTTATCACGCTTTACCTCCTATGATGTAGCACACCTATATTCCTGCCCACAACGTACCTACACCTTAAACCCTATTTATAGGGTCTAAGACCCTAATGCACTGTAAGCAGAGTAGTATAAGAAAAATTTTAAGGAAAGCAAGAAATTTTTGCTTATGAAGCAGCCATTTTTTACAAGTCATATAAGCGTAAGATACTCTTAATTGCTGTAGGATAACCACAATTGCAGAGCATTTGAATTCTTTGTTGGTTTATTCAAGAATAGAGTATTAACTGGACTATTGACTATACACTATAGGCTTAAGGGTTATTTCAGTAACATAGGTATTTCAACAAGTTTCAAGTACAGATGACGCGATTTAATAATTAATTTGTCAAAGCACACACTGGTGCTTTGGTGTACTACTAGACCATCGACAAAAATACCTGAGATCCCAGTTAATAACAAACATAAAGTTAGCAACGCTATTATTATGACATATATTCTCCAATTTTTAAATCAACAGGACTAAATAATATTTTATTTAAGACTTATTCTTTACTAAATGATTACCCAATATAACTTTTGATTGCAGTACTCCATAGATCTCCTGTTATGTTATATTGGGACTTTCAGATTGTGCAGACTGTTTAATCCAGGTGGTAGTAAACTTACATATATTCCGATTTATTACAGTTAGTAATCCTATACCTACATATTTTCAAATCCAATATAAAAAAGTATCCCAATTTATAATACTTTATTTCTTATTAATATCATTTGATTTTGGCTTCGATCTTATTCAGTTTAAGCATGTGAAAAAATGTTCTAACTTATTCTAACTTATTATCAATAATTAATTTCTAGCAGCTCGTGGGACTTCAAATTCCTTTTGTCTAGAAGAATATTGCATATATTGTGCCTTATAATTTTCAAATCTCGCAAATCAAGAATAAGTTCGGGGTCTTGTTTTACAGAACATTTCACTTTGTAGGACTACGTAAGCATGAAATCTGCTTTTATATCCCAAATTTATTCCATTTATCCTTTGTTAATCAATTAAATCTAATAATCTGGAGCACTTTATAAAATAAGTCTATTCTAAATCAAATTTAAACTTTAATTGACAAAAACTAATATAAAACTTATGTATTTCCCTAGAAACAAACTCTT